TTTTGCCAAGCAAAGGTGTTATTCTCTCTTTTCTGCATTGTTTGTTAAAGGAAGAAGCCAAGAGTGGCCGCGAGACAGATGCAACAACAGACAATTAACCCCTTAAGGACCAAACTTCTGGAATAAAAGGGAATCATGACATGTCACACATGTCATGTGTCCTTAAGGGGTTCATCTAGATCTCAGTTTTCCCACCTCGTAGAGTATAATTTGGCAGTGGAATACTGTCATTCTGGGTGTTTAATGTCAATCAATTTTCTAACACAACTGTAGAACAATAATTCTATTAATAAACACAATTAACCTGCCTGTTGCACACTACTTGTACTATTCTTTCAGACAAAATCAAACACAATCCCTTAGTTTACACCTCAAATAAAGCCTGGAAATGGACATGTCTGAAGTTAGGACTTCGGTGGCAATAATCATGATTTTATAACATATACTTTCAATCCAGTAATAATGAGAGAGATTTTTGTGATTGGGAATTGGGGACATCTCAACTTCGCACAACTAATAGACAAACATTGCTCCTTACACATCACACTTTTTAGTTACCTACAGACCAGCGGTTATATGCTCACAGTTTTGCTTCATTTTTAAGATGCAGACTTGGATCAGCTGTTGGAGAAATACATGACAAAACCAGATCATTTTACTAAACTAGTACGGAAGATACTGCAATAAATCCTCTGACAGATCACTCCTTACCCACATCCTGTGTAAGTTAATGAATATCTGCCATCTACACCTTCTCATCACCCACCAACAAATTGATCAGATTGTTGTTGGTACCATTTTACCGGGCATCGCATAGGTGGTTAGTTCTATCGGCTGACTGATCTCCAGAGAAACAAAATCAACGTGTGATCCGATAGCTTGTTTGCAATGTGGAAAAAGTCAATTTATTCCTTTGATTTTGGAGCAGATTAATAAACAACTCTGCGAAACAGCCTCTATCTTCATTTATAAGAATATTTATGGTTTGTAAATCACTTATATGCAGTTATTGGACCATTAAATCAGTATGTACCAAACAAGATTTCCCACAGGTGCCATTTTGGTGATAAATGACTAATACGTATGAATATCAAAATATACTAAAGTAGTTCAATTTGCTATTTGAACATAAGCTTGACAATCAAAATGTTGAGAAGATATGTTTGTAACATGTTCGGCTTTTATATCTTTCAGACGGTTATCTAGCACTGCACAGAGTCCATCTTGTCCCATCAAGCTTTCTGGTTCTCCAGTCCCCGGAATAAACTACAGTCTGAAGACAGTTCGCGATGAGATGTGTTGTACAATTGTTTGATTGTAAGTACAAAAAAATAAAAACTGTTAGCTCATTTAAGGAATGATTGCGTATGTTCATATAGCTTTTATTGAGAAAAACAAATCAAAATACAGTGGATAAAACAACAGAGAAGGATATACGTGACCCACAGTTGTGTCAAACATCACTAAAATCAGAAAAATATGGTGTCCAGTAGTAATTCTATGCATGAAAGAATAACGATAAAGATAAAAATGAAAAAAAAAAAAGCATAAAACTTTAAACGGTGTGCAGACATACTACATGGTCCCTCCATCAAAAATAAAGAATACAGTTATATATCACTGACTGACTCACAGTTATGTTTTATAAATGGTTTTCACTGCAAAACATAGCAGAGAATATCTCTATTTTTATGTGTACAAAAACTTGATATTTTATTGGTCAAAGAAGAAACATGCAAGTGATGGCCACAATGTTTAACAATTGTCTATACTTCCGAACTGATATGTTCCATCAATTCCTACAATTCTTTCTACCCAGTTAAGTCAATCAGTAATAGTTAGGGCTATGTGACTTGTTGTTAAAGGGACACTATAGGCACCCAGACCACTTAAGCTCATTGAGCAGCACTGTCGCTATTGCAGTTTCTGACAAACATTGCAGCACTAAGTCCGCCTCCAGTGGCTGTCATCCATAGAGCCACGTGGCACTTCCTTGAAGTTAATGGTCTCTTGGTCCGGTATTGGATGCAGCACGTTCTGCATGAGGACATCCAGCATCAGCTATGACCCCATAGGAAAGCACTGTCTCAATGTTTTCCTTTGGGAGGCTTAACCCCTTCAGACCGGAGGATGTACAATTCCGCCCTATTTTAGGTGGCTCTAAACGCCGCCGGGCGTAATTGTATGCCCTCCGGTTTTTGTTTACTTACCCGGTCGCCGGCGGTCCCACGCCAGCGATCGCGGTGGGGGGGACTCCCAGGGAGCCCCCCTGCGGTAGATCCTCCTCCTCCGGTGCCCCCCGGCCATGTGAGAGTGGGGTCCTTGCGAGGACCCCACAATCACATGGCCGGGTAGGCTGCCTCCTGCATTGCCAGCAGGGGGGCTGCCTGTAATGACAGGTGGTCCCCCTGCTGGCTGAAAATAAAATTAAAATAAAATTTATTAGTGTCAAAAAAAAAAATATATACTTAGATCATATATATATATTATATATATATATATATATATACACACATATACATACACACACACATACACTGTCTAGGTGTATTTTACTATTAATATATATATAATTATATATATATATATATATATATATATATATATATTAATATCAAATTACACGTAGACTGGTACTGATTAAATATATATATATAATTATTGTTATATATATATTTATATATAATATAAAAAAATTTAATATGTAAATACGTTAAAAAATAAAATAAAAAAATATTTAAACAAAAATAATTAAAAAATATATAGATGTGTGTTATTTCTTTCTAACTGTATTGTGATATTAATATATATATATATATATTTATATATATCAAAATACACATAGAACGAAATAATATATATATCTACATACATAAATATATACGTATATATCACTATATATATATACCTATATATAAAAAAATAATTTAAAAAAATTATATAGATATACACATATAGATTCACATACGTATATATATATATATATATATACACATATATTAATTCTACATATATATTTATGTAATATTTTTACATAATTAGGTATCTTAATTAATTACAATTAGCGGGACCTGCCTGACAACCCATGGAGAAAGTAAAGGGAATTCAATTTGCTAGCACTATATTTAACCCTATAACTTTCCAAGACACCATAAAACCTGTACATAGGGGGTACTGTTCTACTCGGGAGACTTCGCTGAACACAAATATTAGTGTTTCAAAACAGTAAAATGTATTACAACAATGATATCGCCAGTAAAAGTGAAGTTTTTTGCATTTTTCATGCACAAACAGCACTTACACGGACGATATTATTGCTGTGATACTTTTTATTGTTTTGAAACACAAATATTTGTGTTCAGCGAAGTCTCCCGAGTACAACAATACCCCTCATGTACAGATTTTATGGTGTTTTCAAAAGTTACAGCGTCAAATATAAGGCTTGCTGTGAGAAGACCAATCTCGCCACATTGTATTGGAGAAGCCTGGTTGCTCGCCTGTTGCCTTTGGATTATGGCCCCATGTTAAAAGGCTTGATTTTCCCCTGCAAAGACATGAAAGCCGGGTCATTTGGTGCTTGCCCTGTTTGAGCGGTGATACCCCAGATAGCTATGCCATGAAGCCCATTCGTATAATGAAAGACTATGGGAAAGACTTTGGCTCCATGGCAATTGAACTGTATGTGTGTGCTCTGAGTGCCATTCAGTAATAATGTGCGCTCAGATCTGAGCTATCTGGGGATATGTTGCATGTCTGTATTTTATGTCATAAATGTAACCTTGTGTATTTTATTGTATTTTACTGTCTTTTTGCTGCCATGTGTTCAATGGAGTTTTACCTCTGTCTTTGGAGATAATTGGATTACTTCTAATTATCTCCAGGATAGAAGACTCTGTGGAACTGGTTTTGGGCAGAAAAGCCATGCTTCCTGTGGTCACAAAGGACTACGATCTATCTTTTGAACCACTGGACCAATTTGTATGATTTTGACGTATGTTTGTATTTGGAGTTTTTATGTGAATATGATGCATACTTTTCAAGTTATGAATAATGTGGAAAAATTTATTTTTTCTGCTTATTATTAAATTACATTACCCATTTATTGTGAGTAATTGTGAATCACATACAGAGGAATTTTGTGTGGGGAGTGTCTGGGTGTATTGTATGTATTTTATTGGTTTGTGTTCCCAAAACCCTGTAGATTGGTACTAATGTGTAAGAATGTACATAAGCACAAAATAAACCCCACAGCTCTGTCTGTTCCTGCTTAACCCTCAAAGTGAAGTGTCGTCTCATTATTGGGGGAGGATTTACTGTATGCTGTTAGAGACTGATTGCCAGGAGTGTAAGCTGCTTGGGGGCTTTTCCTGTTCGTCTGCTAGCAGCTATTCGTGTGTCTCCAGTTTGGGAGTTTCGAGTATTCCATTGGTTGCAGTTCGGGAGTTGGTGAATTCGTGGGTTTGCAGTTCAGGAGATTGGTGCTTGCAGTAGCTGTCGGTGCAGCTGAAAAGGGGGAATATCGCCTAAACGGTTTTTAACCTCTTTTGGGCAAAACGGTCCATTACACTTGCGTTTCATTTTTTTCACATTAAAATTCACCAGATTGGTTACGGTGCTTTTGAGACCCTACGGTAGCCCGAGATTGAAAATTACCCCTATGATGGCATACCATTTGCAATAGAAGACAACCCAAGATATTGCAAACGGGGTATGTCCAGTCTTTTTTAGTAGCCACTTAGTCACAAACACTGGCCAAAATTGGCGTTTTTTTGCATTTTTCACACAAACAAATACTAACGCTAACTTTGGCCAGTGTTTGTGACCAAATGGCTACTAAAAAAGACTAGACATACCCCATTTGCAATACCTTGGGTTGTCTACTATTGCAAATGGTATGCCATTATGGGTGTAAATTTCATTCCTGGGCTACTATACAGTCCCAAAGGCAACGTAACCAATCTGGCGAATTTCAATTTCAAATGTAACGTGCTATATTTGACCCTGTAGCTTCCCAAAACGCCATAAAACCTGTACATAGGGGGTACTGTTTTACACGTGAGACTTTGCTGAATACAAATATGTGTATTTTATTGCAGTAAAAGAAAACAGTATTATGACATTGACAGTTAAAATGTCATGTAGAACTAAAAAAAAATAAAAAAATTCTTATTTTCTCCCATTTATTTCATATTAAATTATGTTTCATAGCTAAATATTTGATATTAAATGAAAGCCCTGTTTCCCCTGAATAAAATGACATATAATAAGGGTGGGTGCATTTACTATGAAAGCGGTGTATTACGGTTGGACAGACATGTAGCGCAAATGCCAGGATTTGTTTACATTTTGTTTCGTTCACAACGTGTACATTTGGCTCCGTCCTTAAGGGGTTAATACATTTCCTGCTTTGCTGCTTCCTGTAGCTCTCTGTACCATGTGACCAAGCAGTCACATGATCTAGTGATGTCACCAGGGTCCTTCTACTGGATAGGAACTAGCCGCTACCGCCAGTGAAGTCATCCGGCCTCTCTTGATGATGTCAGCAGGAGGGGGCGTGACTTTCACTGCTCTTCTCTCAGGACCGCTGGGGGAAGAGCAGAGGAAGGCACACCCCCTCCTGCTGACTTTATCAGGAGGGGCCGACTTCACTGACTGCTGGCTGCTGCTCCTGCAGGCTGCTGCCCACCCCTCCCTGGCCCAAGGAAAGACTCAGGGAGGGGGGAAACAACACTCCTCAGCCCCTGTCCCCCCCTCCTCAGTCCTGTCCCCTCCTTAGCCCCTGTCCCCCCCTCCTCAGCCCCTGTCCCCCCTCCTCAGTGCTGTCCCCTCCTCAGCCCTGTCCCCCCCTCCTCAGCCCCTGTCCCCCTCCTCATCCCTGTCCCTTAGTCAGCCCCTGTCCCCTCCTCAGCCCCTGTCCCCTTAGTCAGCCCTGTCCCCCTCCTCATCCTGTCCCTTAGTCAGCCCCTCCCCTCCTCAGCCCCTGTCCCTTAGTCAGCCCTGTCCCCTCCTCAGCCCATGTCCCTCCTCCTCAGCCCTGTCCCCTCCTCCCAGCCCCTGTCCCTCTCCTCAGCCCCTGTCCCCTTAAATCAGCCCCTGTCTCCCCTCCTCAGCCCCTGTACCTTAGTCAGCCCCTGTCCCCTCCTCATCCCTGTCCCCTCCTCAGACCTCTCCCCCCTCCTCAGACCTCTTACTACCCTTTTTTCTCTCCTCCTAGTGCATTGGGCCACTTGATTGGATTTGCCCCAAGACCTAAGGCTGCCATTCCTCCTGCATCCTGTATATACACAGAGCAATATAACTACAGCTCCTTATACACACACAGTGCAATATAACTACAGCTCCCTATACACACACAGTGCAATATAACTACAGCTCCTTATACACACACAGTGCAATATAACTACAGCTCCTTATACACAGTCGCACGATATACAGCTCCTTATACACACACAGTGCAATATACTTCTAGCTCATATACACACACAGTGTAATATATTTCTAGCTCATATACACACACAGTGCAATATAACTACAGCTCCTTATACACACACACAGTGCAATATAACTATAGCTCCCTATACACACACTGCAACCCATGCTATTTTTCACTATGGCTGCTAGTGAACCTTATGTTTGAGTTTCACCTAAAGCTGCACAAAGTCTAGAGCTGCCACTTATAACGAACACAGCCTACTGCATTGCTTATTGTGTCAATTGTACCGTGGCACCCTCCTAGGGTATTCAAATGCTGCATTCTCTGCTATCGGAAGATACTGCCAACTGAGCTAGGAATGCCATTAAGGACTGCGCTCATTAACCACTGAGCTCTCAGCCAATGAGCCGGCCCTGTACAACAGCCATAGCTCAGTGGAGCTAACAAACTCCTTGCAGGACAGTCAGCTGATGCTCGAACACAGGGAAGATGTAAGATCAAGCCAAACTAATCTTATTGATTTTTTTTGATTGGGTAAGTTAAAATTATAGATCAGGGTGGTGCAGTAGACATTGCTTACCTAGATTTCAGTAAGGCTTTTGACACTGTTGCACATAGAAGGCTTATCAATAAACTGCAATCTTTAAGTTTGGATTCAATATTGTTGAATGGGTAAGGCAGTGGCTGAGTGACAGGCAACAGAGGGTTGTAGTTAATGGAATATATTCGAAGCTTGGACTTGTCACTAGTGGGGTACCTCAGGGATCTGTACTTGGACCCATTCTCTTTAATATTTTTATTAGTGATATTGCAGAAGGTCTTGATGGTAAGGTATGTCTTTTTGCTGATGATTGCTGATGATATGTAACAGGGTTGATGTTCCAGGAGGGATAAGCCAAATGGCAAATGATTTAGGTAAACTAGAAAAATGGTCAAAATTGTGGCAACTGACATTTAATGTGGATAAGTGCAAGATAATGCATCTTGGACGTAAAAACCCAAGGGCAGAGTACAGAATATTTGATAGAGTCCTAACCTCAACAACTGAGGAAAGGGATTTAGGGGTGATTATTTCTGATGACTTAAAAGACCACTATAGTCACCCAGACCACTTCAGCTCAATGAAGTGGTCTGGGTGCCATGTCCCGCAGGTTTTAACCCTGAAGCTGTAAACATAGCAGTTTCAGAGAAACTGCTATGTTTTGTTTACATTGCAGGGTTAATCCAGCCTATAGTGGCTGTCTTTCTGACAGCCGCTAGAGGCGCTTCCGCGATGCTCAATGGAAAAATCGCATTGGGCACGCAGAACATCCATAGGAAAGCATGCACATTCAGCTCCATTCGGGAGCTAACTTCGGAGAGGGGAGGAGAGGTCACCAGTGCAGAGTGAGCCTGGATAAAGGTAAGTAGCTGGAGGGGATTTAACCACTTCAGCCCAGCGGGAAAGGGGCCCTGAGGGTGGGGGGACCCTAAGGATTATATAGTGTCAGGAAAACGAGTTTGTTTTCCGGACACTATAGTGATCCTCTAAATGTAGGCAGACAATGTAAATAATTATTGTTGTTTTATAATCCAGCGCCATAATAATACTTGTGTGTTTTTATTACTTTTTAAGACAATGTAATAGAGCAGCAGCAAATGCTAGCAGAATGCTTGGTTGTATAGGGAGAGGTATTAGCAGTAAAAAGGCCCCAGGGAGAATGCACAGCTTAACGGACAGGGGCACATGTATGAGTGTGGGATGGATCATGCATGATTGGCTATGTGCTACATGTGGGAGTGTGAGATGTGAGGAAGTGGGTGGTGAGAAAGCAGACTGACCTTAGTGCCACTTAGGAGCCGGGCCAGCAACAAGTTTCCCACCCACCCTCCCTTTGAATGTTTTGGGCCAGGGAGGTCGTCACAGCAACGCGGGGCATGTCCTTGCCAAATAACGGATGGTAGATTAGATGAAAAGGGGCATAATGGCCGGGTCTCATCCTCACACTGTCTCTTATGGTGAACCTGGAGGAGGTACCATGTTGGACGTGTCCCAACTGGGTTGTAAGTCGACCAGTGGGGAGCATTATGGTTGGGCCCCACCGAGCGGAAAACCGGCTGGTGGGGAGCCCTGAAAAGGAAGAGGTTTTATTATGCCGAGGGGGGGAGGTGAGAGCCTTGGGGAAGCTAGATTGGCAAGGACGGTTTCTTGATTACTGTATGACTGTATAAAAAGAGTTTATGTTAATTTATTAATTTATTATTATGTTATACGTTTAAAGGACCACTATAGTGCCAGGAAAACATACTCGTTTTCCTGGCACTATAGTGCCCTGAGGGTGCCCCCACCCTCAGGGACCCCCTCCCTCCCGGCTCTGGAAAGGGGAAAAGGGGTTAAACTTACCTTTTTCCAGCGCTGGGCGGGGAGCTCTCCTCCTCCGATCCCCCTTCTCTCCTCCCCGTCGGCTGAATGCGCACGCGCGGCAAGAGCTGCGCGCGCATTCAGCCGGTAACATAGGAAAGCATTCATAATGCTTTCCTATGGACGCTTGCGTGCTCTCACTGTGAAAATCACAGTGAGAAGCACGCAAGTGCCTCTAGTGGCTGTCAGTGGACAGCCACTAGAGATGGGGAAAACAACCCATTTATAAACATAGCAGTTTCTCCTGAAACTGCTATGTTTATGAAAAAATGGGTTAACCCTAGCTGGACCTGGCACCCAGACCACTTCATTAAGCTGAAGTGGTCTGGGTGCCTAGAGTGGTCCTTTAAGGAGTTATACAGTATTTGGTGATGTTAATAAATGCTGTGGCCTTTTTTTTCCCCAAGAAGTTGTCTGTCGTTATTTGAAGGGGTAAGATATGGTTTTGTTATTGGGGGATGAGGGGAATGCTATCCAATACCCACTACACACATACAAGAGAGAAGTGCTCATGCCATTGTACAGAACACTGTACTGTATTGTACGCAGTACTGGAGACCGTATCTCCAGAAGGATATTGATACTTTAGAGAGAGTTAAAAGAAGGGCAACTAAACTGGTTCATGGATTGCAGGATAAAACTTACAGGAAAAGTTAAAGGAACTTAACATGTATAGCTTGGAGGAAAGACGAGACAGGGGGGATATGATATAAACATTTAAATATATAAAGGGAATCAACACAGTAAAGGAGGAGACTTTATTTAAAAGAAGAAAAACTACCACAACAAGAGGACATAGTCTTAAATTAGAGGGGCAAAGGTTTAAAAATAATATCAGGAAGTATTACTTTACTGAGAGGGTAGTGAATGCATGGCATAGCCTTCCAGCTGAAGTGGTAGAGGTTAACACAGTAAAGGAGTTTAAGCATGCGTGGGATAGGCGTAAGGCTATCCTAGCTATAAGATAAGGCCAGGGACTAATGAAAGTATTTAGACAATTGGGCAGACTAGATGGGCCGAATGGTTCTTATCTGCCGTCACATTCTATGTTTCTATCATCCCGAAACGGTTTGATTAATTACTATAAAGAAACGCCTAGGCACTCGTGGAACCATAACCAGTAAAGCCAACGGAAGTGGTTATGGTGTTTGAAATGTTCCTTTAATAAATATTTACATTATATAAAATTAACTAATATCAAAGGTAAAGAATTCCTCAGTGCACACCCTAATGAAACGTGTTGTGCGTGGCTATCAGACCATAGTGAGATTATGGTTGGGTTACTGTTAGGATCACACTGGACCGCCGTTACACAGAGTGCAGTTAATACATAGAATACAGGATCTATCAGTTTTAGAGCTGTTCGATCTGTCCTGAGACTGATGGGAGTCACACTCCGAGGGAGCAGTCGCTATCTGTAGCTGCCATCATTAATTCACCCCTCTCATTTTACTGACATGTTGGGAAAAGGGCTACAGAAAGAGAAACATATTGGGGACTAGTCACTAAACGGACAATTGCAATGAATTAAAAAAAATAACTGCAATCTGTGACAAAAGCTGAATTGGAGAGATTTTCTAAATTATATATTTTGCCTAAATTTTCCAGTTTGTTTTTCAATTCAAATACATACATACACACACAGCCTTTACACAGACAGACATATAGACTGTGGCACTTTACTGTGCAGCTCAATCTAAATATATATAATGTATCTTTTATTAAAATAATATAAAAATATGTATTATATTGGTGTCTGTGTATTTGTCTATCTGGCTGGATGGGACCTGTGATCCTTTGTGACTGTTCGATGTGACATCATGTGACATCACCCTTTATGGTCACAGCTTACAGCAGTCACTAGACACTGCTCAGACAGTTGACACTGCTTAGCTGTTGTAGTGATCAAGTTGCTAATGATGGCAAATAGAAACATTTTCTCGTGTTTTCCACGTTTGCGCTTTCGAAATGTAAGTAAATCACTTGGTTTCTTTAAGGTTCCAATTATATTAATAATTAACTGAGCGCTATTACCCCAAACGCCAATATAATTCATGGTTGGGTCCAAAAGGAGAATACAGTGAGACCCATTCTATAATTATTAATGTGATTTGCTGGATGGGGATTATTTTAATTAAGTTAAAGCCTTATACAATGAAAAATGTTTCTTTGGCGCAAATACATTTTGTGCAAATTGTGTAAACAAAATAAAGTGCAAATGTGTCAACATTATATTACCTTAAAATACTAGATTTTAAGGTAATACAATTTTGACACATTTTTCTTTGTATAGGAGTTATTTGGAATTATGAGCAGTAGTTCTGTCTTTAGGCCACATTTTTTACTTTTTTCTCTGAACGATGAAGACAGGGACCAGCACTCTGTATCTAGCGCAGAAACCCGCCATTTAATGCAACTACAGCTCTTATACACACACAATGAAAGCAATGTGTTTTTCCCCTATGGTTGTTAGCGGGGGCCTCATGTTTGAGTTTTGCCTAAGCCATAGCAAAGTCTAGACTCACCACTGCACTTATAGCGAGCACAGCCTGCTGCAGTGCTTATAGTGCCAGTATTACTTTGGCTTCCTCCCAGAGTAAGTAGTCACACCATTTAACAATGGTTTACCAACTTACCTTGGTCACCCTGGGACCAAATGCCATATTCTCTGCTATCGGAAGCTCATGCCAACTGAGCTAGTAATGCCGTGCAGGACTGCGCTCATTAACCTCTGAGCTCTCAGCCAATGAGCCGGCCCTGTACAACAGCAATAGCTCAGTGAGGCTAACAAAAGCTTCTTGCAGGACAGTCAGCTGTCCGGTGGGTGTTTTTAGTGTTAAACAGGTGAAGAACAGGTTAACACTTATATGTAAAACTGCTCCTAGGCCTCCAGGCACCATAACAATTTCAATGAAATGATGACATGCTACACAAACTTAAGCCCTGCACTCAAACTCCCACTACTCTTGGGCGGCAGCAGTGGCTATAATATTCATCTGCCCAAACACATAGATGGAAAAAAAGTTATCTGCACGCTATCCTAAATCCCTATGAACGTTTAAATGATGATGATTTTAGTATTACTCCAACGCCCATTAAACTGTAAGCTCACCTGCCACGGCAAGGCAAACCTATTAGGTGAGTCCTACACAAGTTGTTATGGTGCCTGGAGTGTCATTTCCTGTATTTTAGTTTGTTTGGAGCAGTTTAAAAAGAGTCACTGGCCCCTGTGGCAGCAATCAGGGGATGGACTGTAAAAGCTTTTGGTTTGTTTGAGCATTTTTCTTGCAAAGTGCCTTTTGTTTTCTAATTGTTTTTGTTTCAGCGTTTTCAGCGCGGCAGACGTCAGATACCTGATGATGTTGAACAGAAAGTAGATCAACTTCCAGGTACATTAAAACACTGTGTGTGATTGCTGTGTATATATGTAAGTGTATATCTATCGATATCCATGGAGACTGAACAAGTTCTAGCATTTTAAAACCTGTATGAGACCTAACGTGGACCCACCAAAGAGCAAGCTGACTGAGCTCCAGTCAATTCTTACCGTTCTCATAAACTCTTGTTTATTGCTTATAATTAAATACTTACTCCAATCATCATACCAGCTATGGCCATCTGTAATGATTATGATGCTAGGAGAAGCCGGACGCCAATACCGTCAGTAATTCAGTGACCGAGAATGTCAACTGAGCTCTCTCATGGAATATGCACAAAATTCACATTATCCGAACACTCGTTCCAGACTGGCTAATGACACTCATCTAAATATCTCTGTGTGTTCAGATTTCCAAGCACCATAACCACAGCAAATCACTAAAGTGGTTATGGTGCTTGGAGGAAGCCTTTAACATTAAGATTTCTATAGTTAGATTGTTTCCTGAAAACAATGCACAGAATATACAATGTTGATGTTTCTGGCACGTTAGATTGCAGAGTTGATGTTTTCGGGAAGGTAGTTCCCCTTATATATACTGAACAAAATTATAAACGCAACACTTTTTTGTTTTTGCCTCCATTTTTCATGAGCTGAACTCAAAGATCTAAGACTTTTTTTTATTATTATTATTTTCTTTTTGTATTTTTGAAATACAGGTGAGTACAACAGTGCCAACATTGCCACAACAGCATTCCCATGCTCATTCGATATAAGCAAACAAAAGTTATGGCATGTTGTGTGTGTGTGCACATTTTTGTATTTATAAATTAAAGTTTTGAACCTAGTGTAACGTAACAGAAGTGTAGTAAAATACAAAGTGAAACGTTGCCTGAGCCACCGTGCGCTTGCAGATGAGTAGTTAAGATAATGGATGCAATGCTTCCATTCTATTGTGTTGTGAGGCTAGGACCTTGGTGCAGTAAGTGTGTCTCCGGGTTGATCTGTGTTCTAGTAACGTGCGTATGCTAGGCAGTGGCGTATTAAGGATTTGTGCTGCCCTAGGCAGGACGGTGCTAGGGCATCCCCCCCCCTAAATTAAATTTTCCCCACCCCTTCCTGTCAAGGCTGCACTTTGACTGAAAGACACTCACTCACTGACAGACACACACACTTTCATAAACACTGACTAACAATGACATAAACACACTCACTGACAGACGCACACTCTCACTGACAGACGCACGCACTTACTGACTGACGCACACACTCCTGACAGACACACGCACTCACTGACCGACACATACACACTGAATGACCGACACACACACACACATTCAGTGACCGACACACACACACACATTCACTGACAGACACACACACTCACTCACATTCACTGACACACACATTTCCCCCACTCACAATTATTATTTAATTTTTTTTACATTGAAGTCCACCCAGCCTCCCTACTTTTCGGATAGCTGGGTGGATTTTTCACCTGGGGTCCAGTGGGGCTGCTGGGCAGGGAGGCAGCTGGACAAATTCCGGGTCCCGGCATTAATGCGGGTCGCGTAAGGGAGTTGAGCAGAGAGAGCTCAGGGGAAAGTGCTCCTACGCCCGGGGGAGCCATTTTTTCCACCCAAGGCAAATACTTGAAAACGAGAGAGAAATCTCAATGTATCTTTCCTGGTAAAATATTTTATAAATAAATAAATGCCTTGTTTGCCTCATGGTAGACCTGATGTTGGGGCGGCCTGAG